AATAGGCAAGTATTGGTGCTTGGGTAACTAGTTCCTTAATGTTGTGAAAAGCTTCGTCATGTACGGCGTCCCAATGCCATTCCRCATCCTTGTGTGTTAGTTCTCTTATCGGCGCCATTGCTTGAGACAATTTTGGGAGAAACTTTGACAAATAATTAACGCTTCCATYTAGTCGTTCCACTRCCTGCTTGTCAGCCGGTCTCTCCATCTTGACAATTGCTTCGATTTTCTTAGGGTCTGCCTTAAGACCATGTGACGTGACCAGGTGTCCCATGAATTCTATTTCCTTTGTCTTCAGCTCTGCCTTTCCTTTGTTGAGTTTGATTCCTTTCTCCTGACATCGTTTGAGCAAGGCGTTGAGGTTTTTGTCATGATGAGCCTCTGAGTCAYGGTCATTATCTCCTTTGCCATATACAAGGATGTCATCAGCTATAGGCGCTATGCAGGGAACACCTTCGAGTGCTTGAATCAGGCGTTTCTGAAAAATCTCCGAGCTGACATTGAGACCAAATGGTAGTCTTCGCCATTTGAATCTTCCGAACGGTGTTGCAAAAGTAGTTAGCAGAGAGGATGGTTCATCGAGAACGCAKTGCCAGTATCCATGCTTTAAGTCGAGTTTGCTGAATACTTTGGCGTCAGCCAAGTCGTGTAGGATGTCCTCGAGTACAGGCAGCTGATAATGTTCTCTCTTTAATGCTTTATTGAGGCTTCTTGGATCTAGACAGATGCGGAGGTCTCCATTTTTCTTCGATGCAACCGACATCTGATTAACCCAGTCTGTGGGTTGTTCCACGGGYTCTATCACGCCTATCTGCACAAGTCTGTCCAACTCAGCTTTGACATTCTCCATCTCTTCCAGTGGTATCCGCTTGGGAGAGCATATGACTGGTTGAGCTCCTTCTTTCAGTGTGAGAGTGACCGTTCCAGGGAGAGTACCAATTTCGTCATCAAAGAGATCTGGGAATTGGTCTGTAATTTGTTGTGGAAAATTAGGATCAACAGCGTGAACACTTTTGAATTGGTCGTAATTCACTGTGATCAGTCCCATTCGCTCTGCAGCTTTCCTACTTAGAAGGGGTGTAAGTTCCTCATCAACGACCACAAACTTCAAGCGGTACTTGTGTTGAGTGCTAGGATTTGTGACCTCAAGTCTCGCGGTTCCTAGGGCCTCTTTTCTGTCDTTRTTCCACATTTGAAGTGTGATATTGGATGGACTAATCTTTGCTCCTCCAATTCTGCTGCTTGGTATGATGTTGACAGTTGCGCCACAGTCTACTTGCATTTTCACCTTCCTAGACTCAACAAACATTTCACACATAATGGTATCCTTATTTGTCTTCTGTCCCACCCCATTGACCAGATGTTCTAGGTTGAATACTCGYTCARAATCAGAGTCGCTGTCGTTACTTTCTATCTCTACAACATTTGCTCGCTCTTTTCTTTTACACACGGTTGAGCCTCTCCAGTGGTTTTTCTCTCCACATACATTACAYCGTTTTCCMCATGCGGGACAGAGTTCCTTGCGAAATGCATGAGTGGTCAGGCAAAATTTGCATTTGCTTTCTTTTTGACCTTTTGGCGCTCTCGGTTTTGCTTGAGATCTGAATTTCACTGGTTTTTCYTTTGTGTTTTCAACTTTACACACGGACGCAAAACTTTCGTTAATCTCTCCTAATTGGGCGTTTGCCGACTCGGTGGAGCGACAAATGTCAATACAGTGTTTTAAAGTAAGTTTTCTCTCTTGTAGAAGCCTTTTTCGCGCGGCGTCATCACTGATTCCGAGGACAATCTGATCTCGGATTAACGATTCACTCATGCACTTGCAAAAATTACATGATTTGGCGAGATTTCTTAACTCCGTGAGATAACTTTCAAAACTCTCACCTGACTGTTGTGTTCGCCTGTTGAACTGAAATCTTTCATATGTTTCGTTRATTTCTCCAKTGAAGTGTTCATCGAATTTAGAGATGATCGTTGCCAAATCGGAGSRGTCTTYGTCGTCATTGAAGTGGAACGAGTTGTGTATTTCCATGGCGCTCGGGCCTATGGTACATATAAATACAGCTTTTTGGAAYTCCTTGGGTTGAGAATCCAAGTTGGTGACGATTGTGTAGCTTTCMCACATTTGTTTCCATAATTGCCATGCTTTAGCTGGACTTTTCGAGCTGGAAATGTCGAGATGATTAGGCGGTTTAATGCTCACATGGACTGGCGACGCGTGTGATGAAATATCTTGTTTTGAAGCTGAAGCTCCCTTATTCGTTGCTTTTCCGTCTGACATAATCCTTGTAGTGTCTTCCTTTTACCGCTGCCACCATGTAACAAGATGAGGCTTAACAATCGACGCTTAAACAAGGCTTTAATCTCCTGAACTACACGATTACACAATCATACTAAATCTGAACTCGAACTGCATAAATTAACGCATACGGGACATCGTGTCACATTGTGTCACGCAATAACGTTATGTTCATATTGTCACACTTTGCCAGGAACAAAATTATTTGAAAGAAGCAAGGGCACCACATTTGCTTGTCAGCTCCTCCTGAAAGTTTTTGTCTTTACACGTAGATCCAGATGAGTAATCCACCTCTTGCATCTGGGTTCGTCTTTAGTGAATTTTGGGTTGCTACAGCTGACTCGACTCGCTTGTGCTTGTTTTATNACAGAGACGCCCGTCCTGGCCTCAAAAACGCAACTGCAAACCGATAAGAGGGTCTCAATGGGGTGGTACGCATCACGACTCACGGCTAGAAATTTGGCGATTTCACGACTCACGACTATTTTTGTCGAATCACGGTTAACTAGATTGCTTTTAGAAATTTTTGAATTACGTTTTTCATTGCTTTTTCTTTTTTCGTATGAATAGACTGCGTGACTTATTCGTGACGGACGTGATGGATTTTTCTATTTCAAATAAGCCGAAATGCGACTATTTCCACGAAAAAATGATTAATCATAAATTCATAATACACAAAAAAAATCTAAAAAGTGTTAAACATAGCAGGTATTTAGAACATAGTACTGACATTGCTGCAGTCCGTGTCTGACATCGGAGTTTACGAATTCATTAAGTGTCGCTTTTCGCGATGATGTATTCTATGCCGGGCTAAATGTGCATGGTAAAATCAGGAAGTTTGTAGCGTATTCATATTATTATTTGACCCTAAACAAAATTATAGTATTTTAAAATCGATATCTTGTACAATTACTTTAAAATGTCAGATATATACCATGTCCGTACGAATAGGAAACATAACTCGGACACTCTGTTTAAAAATTGTTCTCGGTTGCGCAATCGACGCGCAGTGAAAACTTATTATACGTGAAAACAAGCCAATGAAAGCGCGCTTTAAAATATCGCATTATAGGAAATATATAGAAGTAATTACTAAATGATTCTACAGATTTTGTAATTAAACATTAATGCATAGGAAGCTAATTCAAAGACAACAACAAAAAGCAAAAAAAGAAAAAAGAAAGAAAGATGAAAAAAGAAAAAAACTTGAGTAT